ATTTCCATTCATGTAGTTGGTAACCTGATGGGCATGTTATACGCAGAAGTAGTTTAGTGAACTTCATAGATACCTAAATACAGTTAAACCCATAATTGAGATATATGAGTCATACACAAAAACCACTACATTTTATCAATCATGAAAAATACAAATCAGAGGGAATGAGAAATACTGGAGACCTGAGATGGCAGAGGAGGGTAAAAGAATGAGACCCAAATGTAACGTCCACTGGCAAGTGGACAACAAAGAGGAGTAATTTTGTAGCAGGACAAATAGAGTAGAATAATCATAATAGATATGAGGGATAAGTAAGCCTGAGCTACTCACTCATCATCAATAAAGAACGATTCGTCAAGGCATGAACCTTATTTTGTTGTGGTTTTTTTAGCTTCTACACTTGATTACCCACTGTTGTGTTGCTTCTGCTCGCAGTCAAGGAACTGTTATTGCTAGCATCGTTGTTTCTGGTGTTGTTTTGGTCTACCATACCTGGCAACAAACTCAATCTTCATCCAAATCGGAAATCCATGAAACTTAAATGAAAAAAACAATCACATCCAAATTGAATATTGTTGCCGCGATTTTAACTGACCACAATCAGCAAATGGGCATTTGCTTGATGGCTTACAACGAAATCTATGTATCCCATTGGAAGGAATGGGGTTTCTTTCCTTAACCAATGAAAATCCCTTCTAACCCAAATGAATAGATTGATCCTTTCACCAGAACATAGCACACAAAAAGAAAAGCATCCACACAAAAGATGAACGCAACGCCACCTAGGAATCGGAGAATGCATCATACTTATAAAATTGAATAGATGGATCCGTTGAGTTTTTTTTCAATTTGGTGTGACCATCCACCCCCCTTACGTAAACTGAACTATAATCTTGCTTCACACAATCGCCGTGGTGGGTTACCATTTAAAATATTACCAATGAATGAACTAATATAAAAGCCAGGAACCAAATTTGATTGAAACTACCATCATTCCTCCAAACAATCAACAGATGTCCTCGGAATCAATCCTGTAATCATCCAGTCAAACCCAAGCATTATCTATGGTCACATTTCATGAAAGGGTGATGCTTGAACAAACCTCATAGATGTAGATATCCAAATTATGACTAAAGTAAAAGCATTAGTTACAGCTGGGTTGTGTTAATCGGCCAACAACGAAGACACGCACCTTGTAATTTACAGCCTCATTGTAAACCATGCCTTCAACTTAAAAAATGCAGTATTCCCAACCTTGATGGCAAGAAGCTCTTCATCTTTGGTTCTAAAATAATCAATGGCCATCAATCAATAAACTACGATGGCAAAGCAGATGATAGAGATTATAAAAACCACAAGAATTCGTTTAGTAAACTGGAATCACTCACTTAAATGAAATCTTGAAAACTGAAAAAAAAAAACAACAGCAGAGTCGATAGGGAAAGGCAAAGAGAGTGAAGAATTGAAATCAAATTCAAAGAAGGGAACAAACCCAAAACCCCCATCCTGAGCTTCGGTTTCAAAACACCCAAAAAAATATGCTTCAGATTCAACAATCACACAAACTCCCAAAGGACCCAAAATTGAAAATCATGTGCGAGAGCGAACCCATAACTTAAATAAGAAAAAAGTACCCTGCTTTTTCCACAACTGAGTTTCGGCATGGTGTTTCTGTCTCTTCCCTTTTCCAAGTTAACCCTCATATTCACAATTCCACAAATTCCCAACTTTGCCGAGCTGAGTTCGGCGGAATCCTAGCTTATACTCCCAAGTCCCAACAAATGTTGTAGGAGTTGTGTGCCTCCATGGGAGATGGCGTCGAAAGGGGGAGTCCAACCGTGCAGACCTCTCAAATATTTGAGGTTCTTCGCTCTCCACTACTCACTTCACTGTCGGGTCCGGCCCCGCATCCTAGCTTCCGACAAAGATCTCAATGACGCCAATTAGTCAGGGTCGTCGGTGTTGGGATTCCGCCGAGGCTGTTTGTGCGTTTGTGAGTGCGTGCATGACTATAAGAGGATGGTTAAGGGGAGTTGGGATTCCTCTCTCCGCCTAGCCATAGGTGTGGTCGCGAGATCAGTGGGGACGGTTGCCGCTATGGTTTTGGGTGGCTGGGAGGGCGGGGTAGTGGCGATTCCACCGAGAGAGAATTAGGGATTTTGGGTTTTTCGAGAGTGATGGAAGAAGTCTGAGTGAAGAAGGGAGTTGGGCTTTGTTGGGGGATATGGTATGGAAGGGTCTCGGGCAATGGTCGATTCCCGAGGGGAAAGCGAGAACTGTAGCGACAGGTTTGGCTTGGAGAACGGAGCAGCAGGGAAGGGGGAAGTTTGCGGGTCTCGAGTCGGAGATGACAGGAAGAAGGAAAGGTTTGCGTGTGCAGGGGAGAAGAAGCAGATAGAAGACCCCAATGAAAAGTATATGGGTGACCAATTATCTCTCAGACAAAGGAGATATCCAGGGAATAACCAGTGGCGAGTGAGGTAAAAGGTGGATTTTTGTGGTTCTGTGAGAAGTGGAAGTTGGACACGTGAGCCACTGAAAGAAGAAACAAGCGGAAGAAGCCCAGTCGCACATGAGAGCGTGGACCCCACTAATGAACAGTGCATGTAACCAAGGGTTTTATATAGGAATGGCATGCCTTGAGCCAGTGTATAAATTGACACCTAAGCATACTTCCAAAATCCCTTGCAACGAATACAAAAGCTTCTCAAATTCGATTGAAAGTCACTTACTATTCCAGTCTGCTTGCATATTACTAGAGCTTCTCCTAAGGAATCCCAATCATGTGGACCAAATCAGAGCTAGAGCTCCTGCTTAAGCGACTCTGCATAATGTATCTTCTTGTGTCCTTGTAACACTCTTATAACCATTGTAGACAAAGCCCTGCTCCTTCATCTAAGTAAAATGTGGTACCCTTTTGTTCTTCCTCCTGTACCCTTTTCTTTTAAGTATTATTATTTTTAATTGACATGAAAAATAGTTAGTCGACACATCACCAATCAATACATTGACCGATGTCACTAATGATCAAAGTTAATGGTGATGAACTTCATGTCAAGATTACAGTTTTGACAAGTTTATGCTAGAAATTATACATTTTGCAAAGTTTGGGTGTCCTAATTGTATTTTCCCTCAATTTTTATATATTGTACTACATAATATGATAAATGAACATGGAGGATTGTGAACTGTTGGTCACTATAAGAAAGTGATTGGTCATTAGAGATGGCAATGGGGCAGGTTTGGAGTGGGTTTGTTTCAACCATCCCCATCCCCGTTTTCAAATACCCAAACCTATACCAGCTTCATACCCATGCGGGGGAATGTTTTGATCCCCATGTCGTACCCGTGGATTTCGGGTACCCATCGGTAATACCCACCTCGTACATCCAACATTATTATATCTGAAAATTTACAAGAATTTTTTAATTATAACACTCAACAAACCTACTATATCACGAAGTCAACAAAACACGACAATTTTCTCAATACGGATCAAAGAATATGATTCAAAAGCATCCATCAATACATAAATATAGAGTACAATATTTTCTAAATTATTATACTATAACTCTTATATATCTACTAAGTAATAATTAACTAACATAATCTGGTTGACAAAGAGGAAAGTGAAAGAGTGAAGGGAGAATTGAGGGAAATGAATTAGGTTTTGACTAGTTGGCCAGTGAATTGCATTTTTACTATTTATGTTCTCGAATTTACCCTCATTATCATTGATAGGTTACAATTTAATCCACACATTTTTTATATGTGAAGAAATTCTCTTGGTGGTGCGGGTATGGGTATGGATATGGGTATTGGTATGGGGCAGGGAGGCTAAAACCATACCAGCCCCATACCAATTAAAAAATTTGCGGGTTTTACCCATACCTAGTCAAAGTGGGATTCCCGGCGTTGACTGGGTTGGGGAGGTCGGATACCCGCGGCCATGAGCTTGATTGCCATCTCTATTGGTCATATGTCAATGACGCATTTGAAGCAGTTTTGAACTTACCTACACAGTAAGAAGTCATGGGAGTCATACTCGCATGTTGAGCCATTCCAGTAAAACACACATGATGTTTTACAAAGACACGACGAAGGAGGAGAAATTAACAGATATCATGTTCAAAACTATGAAAAGACTCGCTCTCAAATGGTTGATAGACTTTTGGCATTGTGCGGAAAGTTATATACACCACCGAATGTTGCTATAGTGAACTATTAAAACATGTTTATTGATGAATTTCATATGGAACTCTCTTAACGAGGAATTGGAGCAAAGATGTTAAGATTCTTAATAATATTATTCAAATAAGTTGAATCCCTCAAAAAAATTGAAAACCTCGAGAAATATTAACTAACAATCTCAATGAATTTTCTATGAGAAGCTAAAAGTATAAATGATCTCATTTGTTATATTATTAATTTATCCAAGTTAGGTAGATGCATTTAGCTTAAATATCTTCCAAATGATTGTTTCACGAGGGACATCGAGAAATATTAACTATCAATCTCAATAAATTTTGTGCATTTTCAGGTCAAAGCAGACTAAAACTCCACCTGAGGGCAATAAGGAACATCGAGACTCGCCTGTTGGATCAAGATTCGAAGAGAAGACCGAGACTCGTAAAAATGGTGCCCAAATTGACAACTCATGATTCAAAACGGCATCGTGGCCGCCGTTTCGGAAAGATACCATACTTCCTCAGGAAGGCGTCCAAGAAGCTATCCTAAAATATTAGTTGCACAGAGGGACTCTTCTGATTGGTTGGATGAGGCATCAAGACCGAGTTTCTCTCCTCAAAAACCCTAATCCAAGACCTACTGATAGGTCTTTAGGGTTTAGAACTTGATAACCAAGAATGGAGGGCAGTTAAAGGGTCATGTTACTCTATCAACAGAGTAACCCAGCTGACTTCTACTTTTACTTTCTGTTTTGCCGCTTCTTCCATCACCGGGTAATTATTTACAACAATCTGCAATTCCTGGGGCGGCAGGACAACCATCTCAATTTGTTTAGGTACTGGAAATAGAAAGTGCACAAGGCCACACTAATACGATGAAGGCAACCATGTGATTTAAAGTTTGGTGAGCGAATATAAGTAAGCTAAAATACAGAGCATGATAATCAACTCCTACGATCTTCTTACATCAGTGGCTTCTTATGAAAGTAATAACACTTGCCTCGTCCGCTCGGAAAAGTGCTAAACGAAGGTGTCGGAAACAAACAAACAAACAAACAAACCGCAGGAGCTCTCACAAACAAAACTGTTGATTCGATCATATGATCCCTAAATCCGGACTCTAGATTTTAGTAACCTAGATTCTGTTGGAAACCAGTCTCGCAAAGTTAACTATCTATACATAACCTAGTAAAATGATGCTACAAAATTGTACCCCTTCCTAACCAAGCTCTATCTTCTTGAGGAAACGCCACGCGATTGCAGGTGAAATAGGTAAGAGTTTGGTGATCAACTGGAAGGAGGACCAGATAAGACCGTCTTTAATGTTTCGTAAGTCATGAAGACGATGCCAACACCAGGTACCACCTTGTAGTATTCAGGAAGGATCCCTCTGTAAAACCCTCTAAGCCCTTCATTCTTGATTATCTGTCCGAATGCCCCGACCAACCCGCCCGTGTAGACACGTGCTTGACCACCAGCTCCCTCTAACTGCATTCTTCTCCTCACAAGATCAATTGGAAACGTTGCTGCAATAACATATCAGAAGATGAAGCTGGGAAAGTCAGTAAAATACACACTCAACAAACTTGAAATTGGAGAAAAGTCTCCGTCTTGTGGTCACTACGAACCTGTTGATGCGGCAATCCCAGACAGACTGCCACAACCAAGACTGACCATGGTTTTTGAATCATTGGGCCTGACATCAGACCAGACACAATTAGGCCTGAAAATGATATCAAAGGGAAACCAACATATAGGGAACGGACATTAGCTCAGATTATTGTCAGTTCCAGAAGATTCACCTTTGAGATTCCCAAAATGATTTGAGAGACTCGTATACACAAAATCCTATAGCTAGATTAGGTCCAACACCCTGCACCAGAATCATACATCAACAACCAAGTTCTTCAACTTTGTTTGTAAAATGAAAGTGCGGATGAAGGAGAAACCTAATTGAATACCAATAATGTTGGCCCAATCCCTTTATACAATCCAAAGAAGCCTTCTTCTCTGCATATGGTACTGAACGAATGCCATATACCTCTGTAGTACATTGTGTTTCTCTGCAAATTTCCATAAGAAATTCTCTCGATAGGAACTCCCGACAACAATCATATGTAACCACAACTCAATATTTGCAAGCGACACTGCACACAAAAAACAAAAAAAAAAAGCCTAGCCCAAATTCTCATATAATCTGGTGGGCTGCAGTTACCTGAGCTGCAAGACGTGTTCGAACAAGATCCAAGGGGTATGTGGCAGAGGCAGCGGTTATCCCTGCCAAACCTCCACCCAGAAAACGCGCAGCTACATCTGCAGTTGAATTTCCCCCCTGCCTTTCTAGGCCAAATAGTGATTGCAAGAACTACAGTGAAGAACAAGAGAGTTAACCCAACTTTCAGATGACTTCCCAAATGAAAAATGTCAAGAATCACTTACTGCCTTGTATTGTTCATAGGCATAGAAGTTGACTGCAGAATAGGGAACACGGTGAGCAATCGTGACCAGATTGCCTCTCCAAAATGCTCTAAACCCTTCTTCATTCACAATACGACAAGCTTCTCTCCATATGCTAGGCCTGCTCAATGCTGTAACATCAGCGTGCATCCCCTGAATCTGAACACGAAAGCTCTAATTGGTCAGCATAGTCGAACAACCACCGATCAGTTCAAGCACCTAGAATGGAAAAGTTGCATGTTCTATTCTAAAGCCTGTAGCATTAGAAATTGCAGCCACTTTCTTAACATGTCAACTGGAAGAATACCCTATTAAGCAATTTCAAGAGAAACCCAGTTCATTTCACAATCTATATATGCCAAAGGAAACTCAAATAAGAGTTCATTTCACAAGTAAAACGAAACAGAAAGGGAAAAGGGGTGGAAAGTTGGGCAGACCTGGAAGAGGATTGTAAGACGAGCCATAGGCGCCGTGCAAGTTTTGCTGAAAGCACCCGCAATCCCTCCAGCTAGCATGTGCTGAACACTTCCTACCTGGGACTGCTGCCGACTGAAAGACGACGGCTGAGGCTTGCTGTGGCTTTGGCCGTGCTGTTGTAGGAAAGCACCGGCATCGACGACGGTTCCGTGAGCTGCGGCAGCTGCCGAATTGAGAGCTCTCTGCCCTCCCTCAACAACCACGCCGACCCTAGCTTCCATATCCGCCACCGAACAATCCCCGCCGCCGGTTTCAGAGTCCTACGGTATATTCCTCTGTAGGTAGGTCAGCTAAAGATCGGACGCGCATACGGTTTTATTGTCGGGCGTTCCTAAAGTCACAATCAGGATTGGAAAAAACAAATTATGGTACAAAGCAATGTCGTCTAGAGAGATAAACCCTAGAAGACGAAGGAGCAAAACCCTACAGAGGCGGGCAAGTACAGAAGTTAGGGAAAGAGAGGAGCAAGCAAAACAAGAAAGGAGATGGGGAATTTAGTTTTCGTCTTTTTTTTAGGTTTTGTTTTTAGTTTCTGAACTAAGATTCCGGGAATATAATTTATTCCCCTTACGTATGAGTGTTTTTTTTTTTTTTCCTTGTAGAATTTCGTCTGCGTGTTTTACACTTTTACTTAGACAAACAAAGTCAGGTTGCTCACCAATTTGTATTTAACAACGTGTGCTTTGGTTGTTGAATTTGTTTCATGAATTTGTCACTCAAATTTCCAATTTTGGTTTTGATTAACATTCAAGTAATTTTTTGTTTTTTAGAGTGCCAAATTTATGGGATCCACGAATTTGAGCTTTTTGTATTCAAATTCGTGTATCTTATATATTTGAATATCTCACATCACTCTTTAGGATTTTGTTAAAGAGATTAAGTTCATGATAAACATTTATCAAATTGTCCGTCTAATAATTAATTCTTCCAACTCTATCTTTGTTTGTTAAACTAGTTATGTTGATCATGTGCGGTTCAAGTTGATGGAAAAGAAATTATGGAGGTTTTATGATGATAAGAATTTCGAAAAGGTAGAACATTGAATTTATGTTGGTGGTTCCTTTTGATCGTAAAGGTGTTTGAAATTGCAATGTTCGTTTTGTGATTGTTGGTGATTGCTAAAGGGATTTTCCACACGCCATAAATTGAGTTTAGATTATATATGACTAAATTAATTTCAAAACACATATAGTACATGAAACGATTCGAGTTTTCTTGCCACCATGTATAAAATAAATAACATTAAGAATAGTAAGGTAAATTACCATTTAAAGTGATGAAACCATGATTCTAAAATCCATCAAATAATCCAACAAGCAAACAACAAACTTTTGAAATCCATAATGTCCATCATAAATTCTTGATTTTCCAAAACCTTCATTTTATCCAAACTCCTCATTTTTCAAATCCAACAAGTAAATGACCTCTTAATTACTACACACTTTGCTTCTATGCCAGGCGGGACCGGATATTATAACAACACTATATTTGTTGTTATTGTAACAACAATATAGGTGGACCAATAGGAACCCACCATTCTGCATACTTTTGAAATTCATGCGTTGACTAGGGTAAAAAACAAAGGAAGGGTATTTTTGTCCTACCGAAAAGTTGCAGCTCCTTTTGTCCGAAAAAGTGCAGCTCGTTTCTCACCATTCTCTCTCCAATCGCGCGGCGCCGAGGCTGAACGACGGGCGACGAAATCCTCATCGCAGCAGCTACTGCAACGGCGGCGACGAGATCGTGACGGAGCAGCTACCGCAACGCGCGGCGACGAGATCCTGACGGAGCAGATACCACAACGGCGACGAGATCGTCATCGCGGCAGCTACTGCAACGGCGGAGACGAAATCCCGCGCAGCAGCTATTGCAACGCGCGGCGATGAGATCCTGACGCAGCAGCTACCGCAACGGGGACGAGATCGTCATCGCAGCAGCTATCGCAACGGTGGCGACGAGATCTGATCGCACCAGCTATCTCAACGACGGCGACGAGATCTGATCGCAACGGCGGCGACGAGATCTGATCGCACCAGCTATCGCAACGGCGGCGACGGCGGAGAAAGCTCCTGATCGCAGCTAAGACATTGACGATGGACGAGAATCGTGTAGATGAAGTTTCTGTTGGTTCTGTAGATGCTCAACAACTCGTGCAAATTGCAACATCTTCTGAAGCAACAGAAGGCGGATATCAGCTGGAAACCTCTATTTCCACCAACAGTGGCAACAATGAACAAGAAGAAGGTACGCTCAACTCAATCCTTTCCTGTTTTCTTACAATGAGCACCATAATCACGCTTATACAAGCCATTTACCATATCATAAACACTTCCAATCAAACCGCCCACAAAAATCCCACAAACGATACCAATAGCATCGCCAAACACACCACATTCTTCCCAAAACAAACCACAAGAAAAAAAGAGACAATCAACCAAAACACTTAAAAACCAAACCACAAAACTTCTTAAACGCACCAAAACACCTCCAATCCACACCATTAAAACCTAAATCTGTTTGCAAAAAAACTTTTTGCAATCTGTTTGTAAAAAAAAAAATCACACTGTAATGCAAATCATAAATGTCATAAAAACATCATGAATAACTACAATGCAAACCACTTTTCACTTTTCTAGCAAATATCATCGCAAGATGAAATGATCAAACCGCCCACAAAAATCCCACAAACGATACCAAAAGCATCGCCAAACACACCACATGTTTCCCAAAACAAACCACAGGAAAAAAAGAGACAATCAACCAAAACACTTAAAAACCAAACCATAAAACTTCTTAAACGCACCAAAACACCTGCAATACACACCATTAAAACGTAAATCGTTACATTCCACAATCTGTTTGTAAAAAAATCATACACTGTAATGCACACCATAAATGTCATAAAAGCATCATGAATAACTACAATGCAAACCACATTTCACTTTTCTTGTAAATATTATCGCAAGATGAAATGATCAAGTGCTCATTTCTTTCATCATTGCTTACAGGTGTGACATCAAACAGGACCGAGTTAGACTACACTTGTTTGGGGTTGGCATTCAAAACCATTGAGGAAACAAAACAATTCTACAAGAACTATGCTCACGATCTTGGCTTCAGCGTGAGGGACATGGGAGCTGTCAAACGTTCTACAAAAAGACAGCCAACCAAAACAGCACGATATGCTAGGTATTGCTGCAGCAAAGAAGGATACAAGACCACAAGCAAGTCAAATCCCAAGAATAAAGGAACAATCGATGTCAAGGCTTATCAACGTGCTGTACCAGAAACTAGAGTTGGCTGCCCAGCTATAATCAAATTTAGATATGATATCGAGAAGGATGAATGGCTGCTGGACAAGTGGATAACAGAACACAACCATGATCTCCTCCCTGCAAAATTCAAACATCTATTGAGGTCCAACAAGGGGATCTCAGAAATGCATGCAATGGTCGCACAAGTGCATGCAGATTGTGGAGTTTCACTACGGAAATCGTATGAGTTGTTCACCACAACTTCAGGGGGGAGGGAGAATGTACCTTTTACCCCTCATGATCTGAAGAACTATATCACAGGGACAAGGCAGAAATCAATGAAACCAGGCGAAGCAACTATACTTCTTGAATATTTTCGCCACGAAGCTTACAGGAATCCATCATTCTTCTATGAAATTGAGGTAGATAGTAACGAAGATATTGCAAGTATATTCTGGGCTGATGCAAGAATGCGGTTTGACTACAGTTGCTTTGGAGATACGATCAGCTTCGACACAACATACAAGACAAACCAGAATTATCGTCCACTAGGTCAGTATTCCTTGCACTATTTAATTTTCTTGAGATTTCGAAGTTGAATGCATACCAAACATTACACAATGCATGAGGAGGTTTCTGGTGTGCTTTTGCAAATGTTGTGGTTTGCTTTGTGAGGTTTCTGGTTTTCTTTGTGAAGTTTGTGGTTTGTATTAAGAGGTTTATGGTCTCTGCTTCCGCAAATGTTGTGGTTTGCTTTGTGGGGTTTGTGGTTTGTTTTATAAGATTTGTGGTATGCATTAAAAGGTTTGTGGTTTGCATTAAGAGGTATTCCTTGCTTAATTTTCTTGATATTTCGAAGTTGAATGCATACCAAACATTACCCAATGCATACCATAAGTAACATAAAACCACCCCAAACACTCTTAAAACAAACAACAAAAAAACATGAAACATTCATTTTGAGAATCCTAACCAGAAACCTTATAAACCATACTAAACACGTCCTGAAACACACCATATATATCATAAAAGACAGTCTTTTGTTTGTTTCAATGTTTAATTCTATGTTCTTTTTTTTTATTTTTAAATTACAGCTTTGTTTGTTGGCTTCAACCACCATCGAGCACTCTGCATCTTCGGGGCTGCTCTCCTTTATGATGAAACAACCGCTACATTCAAGTGGTTGTTCCATGCATTCTTGAAATGTATGTCAGGCACCCGACCAACATCAATATTCACCGACCAAGCTGCTGCAATCGCCGCTGGGATTAGATCCGTCATTCCTGAAGCATTCCATGGCTTATGTACTTTTCATATCAAGCAGAATGCAATGAAGCATCTCGACACCACAAACACAAACATTCTAGAAGATCTGCAATATGTCACTTTTGGGGTAGAAAATGAGGAAGAATTTGAGTACAATTGGTCAAGGTTGCTAGACACACATTATCCAGAAGAAGGCACCAATCCAAGGAACTGGTTGGATTCAATTTACAAGGTGAGGAAACAGTGGTCTTCAGCATGGATTAAGGACCACTTCACAGCTGGTATGCGAAGCTCACAGCTGAGTGAGTCTTGTAACAGCAACCTCCGAAACTACCTTCAATCAGATGACAACCTAGTTGAGTTCTTCACATACTTCAACAAGTTTGTCGAACGGAAAAGATCAGACGAAATGGACATGGATTATCAAATGGCAAACACAGTCCCAAACACCATGTACGTATTACTTCCTTTATTTGAACTTTTTATACTGTAGAATGCATCCACATAACAGTTGAATACAACCCAGATACCACCTAAACCAACCCAAAAACCCTACAATCCACACCACAGACCACCTAATACAAACCATAAACACCACAATGCACACCGCACAAGCTTAAACAACCCAGATACCACCTAAACCAACCCAAAAACCCTACAGTCCACAACACAGACCACCTAATACAAACCATGAACTACACAATCCACACCACACACAACGTAAAACAACCCATAAATCCCACAATCCGCACCACAAACAGTACAATACATACCATAAAATCATTAATGTAGACAAGATGCTTATGAATGATTGTATGTTGCATGTCATCTTCCAACAGGTATGACAGAAGCCCACTTGTTCAGCAAGTCGCGAAATTATACACAACTAAGATCTACAGTTCTTTCCTTGAGGAGTATTCAAAAAGCCTTGCTTTTTTTGTGTTCCGGAATGAATCTATGGATAGAGATGGAATGACAGCTTATGAAGTGAAGAAA